CTGAATTTGTAGACTCGTTTCTAGGTGTTTTGTGGTCTTTTTAAAAAAAATCCTAATTTCACATTCATCAATCTCAGCACTATTTTTGGAGACTATATCCTTAGTCATCCCATTTTTCTAGCCCACATGTATGCTGGGAGCTAATATTGTGACACTTTAACTTGCTGAGCGCTACGGGAGTGAGGAGATTCTGTTTCCTCTTAAGCCAACTCCAATAGAGCTCAGCAAATCATATCACACATGGCATTATGGAGGAAAAAGAAGATTTTCAAGTTTACACCCCCTACCTTTCCTTTCCATAAATGCAGAACCTTTTGCAAGCACTTCCCTTTTCCTGATGTCCAGAATACACAGATGAAAACCAACAACAGAGCAGGTTTGCTAATATTTGACAGCTCCTTCATTTCAGTTGCTTATTGTTAGTGATTTATTTCTTCTTGAAGCATAAACCATAAAAAAGACTGTTCTTCTTCTTCATTACCTACAAACATGTGACTGCAAGCTTCCCCTTTTGAATCCCAAACCAGAGATTTGACCATAAAAGCCATGTATATTCATTCAGAAAGGGATTATCTTTCAAGGACTGGCATCTATACCTTTCATTTAAATGTGCCTTTGCATATCTTTCTAGCGGGTGGTGTGTCATCTAAGTCACATACATTTTGGACACACTCTCTTTCCCATTAATATTGTCGGAAGTGGTGTTGCCTGCCAGCATTCATACAACCTTTCTGTAATAAATATTTCCTGTCTATTGAGGCAGTCATTTTGCCTCTGGTTCTCACTCCAAGAGGGGAAAAATCTACTAACATTCTCCCTGCACTTACCCACCCCCTCCCAAGTATCACTGACAATAGACAAGACAAATTTCAAACAAGTGAACTGAAATTAACCAGAGAGGAAGCTGCAGCAAAGCACAGTGATTAGAACAAACAATTTTTCCAGCAAAATGCATGGCTACTCAGAGACCATCGTCTTGGAACTCAAGAAGAGATGCGGAGCCATTTTTCACCAGGTTCACAAAAAAATGTCAGCACGCAGCTGCTCCATGCATTGTCAGATTGCATCTTATTTTGGCCAAAGGGGGGCACCCAGCTAGTCGCCCCTTAAAGAGAAAAATTTAAAGGACCCATTACAAATCTGATTTATTGCTATGCTCTCATAGCACACTCTGCTGTGTGTTGCCGATTTCCATGGGACATAGAGTTAAATGTCAGCCACTGCTAAAATATGGTTCTGTGTGTATTTGAGGTGACAGAAATTCAAAACATTCAAGATACCAACCTGTCTCTTGCCCCCTTTCCACCTCTGCTTCTTTCTCAATACCTCCAGGCAGCTCATTTCAGAATCAAGCAGAAGATAACCTAGTACACAAAGGGTGATTTGTATACATAGCTCTGGCTAACATTAACATAAATACAAAGCCCTTATGCATTCAGATACAATGCTTTTGGGGTCTTGTTTTCCAGAGGCAAAAGGCATGTTACAGAACAAAAAGGAATTTCATCTTTTAACAGGAAAGCAAAGAAATGCATTCCAATTTGATAGATGTAATTAGCCTTTATCTTACATGATGACAGCCACAGTGAAGCAGACACAAAAGTCTGAAATACAAAATCCCAGCTTTATTCCAGCATGCTGGGTGCCTGTGCAGTTATTTTAAATGGTTTCTCTGCTCTTCATTGTTGTTAGAAAGTGACATTAAATTGGATGCTAGCTGCTTTTATTACTACTGATGAATGGTGCCCTCAAAAGTTATCTGTCTTGCAATTTGGTCAATGTGGGCAAACAGTCTAAATAAAAAATTACCCTCACTTCCAGATCATGCTACTATTCTGCCCACATTTTTTTTAAAAAAATCCATTCTTTAGTTGCTAAAAGCAAAGAATCAATACCTCAGTTCAGCTTTTCTGACACTCTGGAGGTGTGTTGATTCCACTGTTTTTGCTTCCTACACAACAATAATTATCTGGCATTTCCTAAAGGAAAGAGAAGGTGTGTAGGTCTCTCTCTCTCTCTCTCTCTCTCTGTGTGTGTGTGTGTGTGTGTGTGTGGATTGATCACATAAAACAGCATTGCAAATAATTCCCAACATCCTTAACACAGAAAAGCGAGACTCTGAATCACATTTAGGTTTCACATTTGCTCAATTCCAGGTAGCTTTCTCAATTCTGAGCTGGCATTGTGAGATTTAAATACTCACAAATGGACTGGTCACCTCCCTCCCTTCCTCCCCAGCTTGCTGAAACATTGGCTCTAGGCAAGAATACAAGGAAGGAAGGAAGGAAGGAAGGAAGGAAGGAAGGAAGGAAGAAGAGGGTGAGGGGGAGAGACAAGAGACAAATGGGGATGGGGGGGGGGGAACAGCCAGAAGCTTTCCCCTACCTTTCCATGGTCCTCCTTCAACCAGTATGTCTTTTCCTGATGTTGAAGCCACCTGTACTGATCCAGCCCATTTTGAAGGGAATGAAAGTAATGTTACAGAAATAGAAGAAGCCTCAGCTGGGCTTGGGAGTTTTCAGCATGGATGTCTAGAATTTTCCGCTTAAGCCAGACACAGCAACACAAAACTGCAGCTGAGCGCTTTTGTTTTCCCTCCTCTGTAAAGGCAAAGCAAGCAAGCATGCAAGCAGTCTAGCCTCCCTGCTCCCCTCTCGCTTTCTGTCACACTCACACTCTCTCTCTCACACACTTCCCAACCCCCACTAATAGCCTAACTCTCTTCTCCTTCAGTCGGGGTCCTTTACGCTGCTGAGCAGCAATGACCTATTCTGTGCCCATCTCTACCTATCATTCTTGGTTTCCCTTCAATAACAGCACATGCCGAGAGAGATGGCAATCAGGGGAGCCTCCTCTCCTAAAAGCAGAAGGCACACTGGAAGGGAATCTTTGGGCTCCCTTTAGCTCTCTTTTTAAAAACAACCCCCTCAAAAAAACCCAAAAGTCATTTACATTAGCAAAATATAACTCTAGAGAGAGATAATGACTGTTTTATTTAAGTTCACACTCAACCTCCTTTCAACCCGCTCATCAAAGAAAGGTAGTGGAATGTGGAGGAAAGGAATACATTTAAGCTCCCCAGTGTTAAAAACCAGGTAGGCATGAAGAGGGCATCACCATCACACCAAAACACACACACAAGTGATTTTACACATTAACTGATAAGATGAATTAAATGTTTTCACTCCGGGAGTTATGAGCATTCTTATGCTATAAGCATACGTCATAGCCTCATACAGCCAATTCACCCCATAGAGAAATGCAGGGATACATACACACACAGACACACACACACACACACACACACACAGAGGGGGGGCTCTCCACATTCACTGGGGTTAGGGCCACAGGACCCCATTAAAGTGGAAAAACTGGAAATAAAAAAACCCCCCACACTTTAAAAAAAAAAATCTGAGAGAACACCTTTCCAGGAATCTTTAGCTCCTCCAGTGCAACTCTGTGTTAACATCTGCCAGAGCTTGACACAGAATCATGCTGGAAGACCTACAAAAACCTATAGAATTGTAATTTTTGGTTCTTCCAGTCCATCTCTATGGTCAGCATCTGGCAGAGTTGTGCTGGAGGACGAAGAGATTCCTAGAGGGAACATATTAATCAAATAAAACCTCCGGCACCATTTTTTTTCAAAACATATTAATCAAATAAAACCTCCGGCACCATTTTTTTTCCTTCGGCCCACCGATGATCTGGAAGACAGCAGACCCCCCCCCCAAAAAAAAGGTATGCCAACCCCTGTAGTATATAGTGGTTTTAGGGCATTTAGGACATTTTAAAGTTTTGGTCTTGCTCCTACCAGGACCTCACACTTGAATTGGGTTTCTCCGTTGGGTACAACTAAATCATTCAGTCTCTCTGAATGCAGTTATTGCTGCAGAATATCTCCCACAGAGCTGCTCATACCTCCTTTTTTTCTCCATGGTCCCCTCTCCTTGGTTCACTTCCTTCCCATCCAGTGATATGTCTCATTCAGTGACTTGTGGAGAACCATAAGAAGGGTAACCCAAGGTTGGCAGATCTTAAACAACAAACCTTTTCCAAAATGGACTACTACCATCATTTCAGAAATCCCCTCCCCATTGGTCTTCAGATTTTAGAAACACTAGCATGGATGACACAGCTTGAGTTGATTACAGTTGGCCCATCATATCCACACATTCTGCATATATGGATTCAACCACCCACAGTTTCAATATACATACAATCCAGAAGGCAAATCTTGATTTTGCTATTATATATATAATTGTATATAATGGGACTTGAGAATCCACAGATTTTTGTATCCGAGGGCATGCTGGAACCAAACCCCAGTGCATACCCCAGTGGATACTGTATGTGCTTATATGGAAAATAATAACATAATCCATATGGCTAATTGATCCTTCAGTACAAATGTCACTACAGTATTTCACTGGACATCAAATTGGTACAAATTGGCATTGATGACACCTAAAAAGTGCCCCATCACACAGAGAGACACAGACATAGTTCACTGCTGCTACAGGCATCAGTGTCCCACCTAATCCTTTCTGATGTTCAGTCATGAGCCAGAGGACTCTGGCTATAGATCACAACTGAGTTAAAAGCCTGTGATGTGGGAAAGGAGTGAATGTATTTCATCATATGTTACATTTATTTCCTATTTGTAATAAGTGCAATTGGATATAACAATGTGTTTCATATTTTAAATATGTTCTGGTTATTAAGTACCTTTCTTTGATTTTGTCTTGGGATTTCTTCCTTTCTCTTTTTTCTTTCAGAGAGCAAGAATGGAATAGAAACAAGAAGTTGAACAGCAACAGAAGGATGACTTTCCTAGGAAGCAGTATAATGTTGAACTGCCTATTTCTGCAAAATATTTATTATTGGTAATAAGAAAGTTGTTCTGGTTGGTTGTTGTTTCTTAAAAATAGTATCTAGCATTCCTACATGCCAGATTCTGGTTTTATTGTGGGCTATAGTGGGTGTGGTAGGGTGGGTCTGACCGTTTGTGGCATAGTGGTTTGAGCATGACACTATGACTGTGGAGACCAGGGTTCAATTCTCAGCTTGGCCATGAAACCCACTAGGTGACCTTGGCCAAGTCACATCCCCTCAGCCTCAGGGAAAGGCAATGGCAAACCTTCTCTGAACAAATTATGCCATGAAAATCCCATGATAGGGTCACCTTAAGTTAGCCATAAGTCAGAAATGACTTGAAGGCACACAACAACAACAGCCAAAATAGTGGTCAATGTAGGGTGGGTCCAGCCTTTTGTGTATAGTTATTGCTTATTTTTGTTCCCTAAATTATTATATATGTATATATTTCTGTTTAATGTTACTATTTAATCTCACTCATTCCCTTTCAGTGATGAGTAGACAGGAAATAGATTCTTCAAAAAAATGCACCTTTTTCTTTCTTTCCCATACTTAAGGGAGAAAGAGGGAAGGAAGAAACTAATGGATGAATTATCTCACTTCCATCCCAATAAGGTTCTTAGTGCAGTAATGTAGCATAAATTTAAACCACCAAATTAGAATTAACATGCAGGTAATGTGCATGATTTCAATACAATCCTGACATAAGTATGGCAATTTTATTGGCTTTTATATTACAAATATAATATAGTGGCACCTTCCAAGTAACTTTTTTTGAGGAGGGAATAACACATGTACAATACAATAATTAGTAATGAGAGAGATTCTGTCAGGTTGATTGACTATTGGTGGAAGTTTTGGAAGGTTTTTTGGCAAATATCTGTAAAACAACAACAACCCTAATTCAAACTGGGGTGAGTGTTTGTGGTAACATTCATATGTTATCATAACAGTCATAATAAACCATAAGAGCATTAGTGGGATGCTTTCATTTGTCCTGAACTTCTCTCATGCCTAGCATCAGCCATGACAAAGAGCCATTTGTAAGCTTAATCCCTTATTTTCCTGCAACATGCGTAGGCATCATAGAAAAGTTTTAGAATTTTTTAAGTGAGAGACAAAACTTAAAATATGTAAAATAAATAAATAAAACCAATGGCTTCTCACAACTGAGAAGAATATAACCAAACAGATGGCAACTTGGTCAGGTTGTCTAATCACACTGTTTATAGCAATCATACCTTTTCACGGAGA